TGCTTGTTTATTGTGCAATAAAGAATATTGAATTGAATTGAATTGAATTGAGACTTGCATAAAATTATAGTGTGTAATTTCTCACGTTTCAGAAGTAACTGCCTCTAGCTCCAGTGAGTCTCAGAATGTGCCTGGCCCATCGCAAATTCCACCGCCTAAACAGGACGTAGGTAATGGAATTTTTTTGTTGTACTCAAGTTATAAGGGATAATTAAGGTTTTAACGGTGTGTCAACTTTTCATTTTTTACACAATTCTGAAGCAACTTGTACTTATAGACCATCAGTGAGTGTGGACAAATGGTGCTACAATCTCTCCCACAATACCTCGTTTATTGTAGATGTTAATTATATATGTTCATTGTGATCTATTTTATATTTATTTATTTATTTATTTATGTTAAGAAACAAACAGTCGATATACAAAAATATTTTACATTGTGAACATGTAGTGTAGACTTACAGTTTCCTTAATTCAAAATAGGTACAAATCAAACAAAATCTGCTCTAACTAACATAACTAAAAATGGACTGAAATTACAAAAACTAGAAAAATGAAGTAAATTAAAATCATTGAACATAATTACAATAAGGCTTTAATCTTAGTTTTAAATTTCGCCAACGAATTACAAAAAATATCCACATCCATGAACCTGTTGTTATATGTTCGACATGAACGTCTGATAAAACTATTACCAACAAAACGTTTTCGCGATTTCTTAATTGAGAAAAGTGTATTCCTGCGACAAGATCTTTCAATTTTACGGGGTACTCTAATGTATATACGATTTAACAGAGATGTTGAATCAAATTTGTTATTTAATATCTTATATAAACTAATAATATCTATATAGTCACGACGACTCCTAAGCAATTCAATTTTGTGCCTGGTAGCAGAATGCTCATAATCAATATAATCATGACCAGTCCTAATATCTAGAGCCCTAACAAATTTCTTTTGCACCCTTTCAATTTTATCGACATGGATGTTGTAGAATGGATGCCAAACAGTACAAGCGAACTCAATTCGACTACGAACAAAGCTATTGTACAAAAGTTTATATGTGAAAGGACTTTTGAACGGTTTACCCATACGTAATATGAGTCCGAGCTGCTTAAAGGATTTTTTAAGCATATTATCTATATGTGGTGTGAACGTGAGCTTTGAGTCCATAATAACGCCCAAGTCACGAATCTGTGCAAGTCGAGAAAGAGGTTTACCACAGAGAATGTAATCATATTTTATTGGGTTCAATTTACGAGTAAAAGTAATAACATTGCATTTGTCAGAATTTAAGAATAAATTATTAACATTACAGAATTCCTCGAAGTTCACAATATCACTTTGCAGTTTATCGCAATCACTGCTGTTACGAATAACCTTAAAAATCTTAGTGTCATCTGCATACATTAGTAAATTAGAGAATGTAGTGATGCTAGTGATGTCGTTGATATAAAGAGTAAATAGCAGTGGCCCGAGATGTGAACCTTGAGGAATTCCGGAGGTGATACACTTATAAACAGAAACAAAACCACCATGTGCAACTGCCTGTCGCCTATTTTTAATGTATGACGTAATCCAACGCAAGAGGTCGCCGTGTATACCGAGTCGCCAGAGCTTCGCAAGTAACGTATTATGACAAATTTTGTCAAAAGCTTTAGCGAAATCGGTATACACCGCGTCCACCTGGCAGTCGTCGTCTAATGCATTCAAAATAAATTCCAAAAAGTTTAATAAATTAGTATCAACACTACGCCCTTTATAAAAACCGTGTTGTTCGGGAGCAATAAAGCGATGGACTGCTGCAAATATTTGAGTTGTGACCATTTTTTCCAATATTTTACCAAACTGGCAAAGCTTTGAGATAGGACGATATTTTTCAATGTCACCACTGACACTACCTTTTGGAACAGGAGTGATCCACGCTTGCTTCCAAACATCAGGGAATATGCCTTCATTAAGAGACTGTTTGAAGATTAATGTTAAGGGCACAGAAAGAGCTGTCGCGCAATTGCGAATAAGAATAGGATGGATCTCGTCAGGGCCGGCACCTTTAGTCGTATCAATAGATTTCAAAATTTTTAAAACGGCATCTTTAGTAATATTTATACTATGTAAATTAAAAAAGCTATCATTATTTGTGTTCAACTGAAGGGTGGGATTGGAGCTAGATTGCTCAAAAACAGAATGGAAATGGTCATTAAAACGATCACAGACATCTTGCCCATTACCGAGAGTAACACCTTTATATGTCATTGTCTGCGGAAGACGATTGTTTGAATATAATGATTTTATGTATGTCCAGAAATACTTTGGGTGTTCCTTAATACTTTCCTCAGAATATTGAATGTAATTTCTATAACACTCGGCTTCCAATTTCACGGCGCGTTTTCTGAGTAAACTAAATGTGTTGTAGTCGAGAGGATTACCGTACAGTTTCCAGAGTTTATGGTATTTTTTCTTTTCATTTAATATTTTTTTAATGGATCTACTAAACCATACAGGCAAAGTACCTGATAAAGGGAGCTGCCTAAGAGGAACAAATTTAATCATAAGTGATTTCAGCACAGAATAAAATTTACAGACACATTCTTCAACTGTTAAGCCACTAAATAATACCAACCAGTCAAATTTCTGAAGCTCACAGTTAATCGAGTCAAAATCTGCAGAACGGTAGCTATAAACTAATTTTGTTTTTGATTTTCGGGGAGGGCTATAGTCTGAAATCAAATCAATCTTAAGAGATGGGTGATAATTATCTTCAACCGTAAGCGGAGCATGGCAACGAGTGACACAACAGTCAACATTACTTAAAACAAGGTCTAATATTCGATGACTACTATTACGACATGAATTTAATTGTGTAAGGTTAGATAATGCCATAAATTGGCTCAATAATTGAGACTCATAATTACTACTGTAAATCTGTTCAATTTTGTTCGCATCGGATACCGTCCACTCGGCGTGAGGTATATTGTAATCACCTAAAAATAGAAATAAATCACACGGTCGATCATTAATCAATTGACTAGCAATATCAAAGAATGCGCTTAGGTCGTCGCGATGATCGGGGCCGCTCGGAGAGTAAAAACACGCAACGTTCAGGTGTCTCTGGCGGTGGCGCGCGGCCGAGGGGCGGCGCGCTCCCGCCATCGTCATCGAGTCGTGATCGTGAAGCGGCAGAGAGACCCATATGCACTCGGTACTCGCAGCGGGCGGACATGGCCAATCACGGCGCACGGGCTGACAACTCGCGCGCACTGCGATTAGCACACCTCCGCCGGCTACGCACCCGCTGGCTGCAGCCGATCGATCGCAACGAAATACCGTATACCTACTATCAAAATATTCGTGGTCGTAGAAGTCTGACGTTAACCAGCTTTCTGAGATGCAAAGAAAATCATAATTATTTATAACTACATTAGATAAGAAACCGTGACTTTTAGTACGAAGACCCCGAACGTTCTGATAATATCCACGCAACTTAGCAAGCATTTTTAACTAATATGTAACACATCGTATGTGAATAAATGAACGGTCTGTCGCAGGTAGTACGTAAAATAATTTAAGAATAAATTATAAGTAATTTTATTGGTTGGCATCGACAACAACAGGAACAAAGTATGCGGATAGATACAGACGGATGGCGAGAAAAAGCAATTAAAACTAAACAATTTATAACGTTGCAAATACGTAGGTGTTAAACTTTCAAATAAAAGTAGGCAAAGAAACAAAAACAGAAACAGAACATGAGCGCATGTTTGTGTAAGCTTATTACATCTATAGGTTAGTATTAATAAGAAATTAAATATATACAGTCACTTTAGTTTTTCGAAGTCCTCATTTTTTATGATAAGGATCACTCTCGATTTATCACTTTTACGCATCAATATTTTTCCATCTCTAACCCAGAGATATTCATATCCGAGCTCCGCCTTCAGCTCGCGGGCACGCCGAAGTAATAGTTTACTCGCCGGCGTAAGGTGGTCACCCACGTATATGTTGGACGAGGGCCCAGGCAGGCCGAGATCAGCTGACGTGAGGCCACGGCGCGCACGCGTTGCCGCAAGTACCCGATCTTTGCAGACACGCCTTGTGAACCGCACGATTATAGCAGGATGGCGGGCTGGTTGTTGTTGTTGTTGCCGGCCGGTAAGATTACCAACCGCCGCCGCCGCCTCGAACCGACGCACCCGATGAACACGATCCACATCCCTTTCATCTAAACCAACACCCACCTTCACACAGAGCAAGTCAAGTATGGAGTGAACGTTCTCCCCGCTTGTTACGGGTACTCCAGAAATCTCCAGGTTGTTTAGCCTAGAAAACTGCTCAGATTTTTCCTTATCGCACTGAAGAGTGGTGATTACCATATTCGCAGCGGCGAGATCTTTTTGTAATTTTGAGGTTATAGACGAATTTTTTTCGATGACAGTGACGCGGTCTTCCAAACCACAGAAACGGGATTCCATCTCCTCGAACTTTGTATTGAGGTTATCGACCCCACAGGTCAATTTATGTATATCACTTTTCATTGGTGAAAACTCGGACCTTAGCAGTTTAATTTCGTTTAGCACTTTTAGAATACCATTGTCGGCAACTTTCCCCTGGTTCCGACATTGCCAGCACTTCCAGGTGGCCTTCTTTTCTGGGCCCATTTTGCGGTAGCTAACCTCGGATATTCCTGAGCAGTCATAATGAAGATTACCATCACAGGAGCTGCAAACCACGCCGTCGGTAACCTCATCATCACATTTATTGCAAAACATAATGTCCAAAAACCGTCCTCTTCACTCTTAATACTTCCACATAAAGTCCAAATTAGTTTGTATTTGAGTCTAAACGTAAGTTTGTAACCGGTTCGCGTGAACAGTGAATGCGATTCGACCGTACGCAACGATAGGTTGAGCGAGAATGAAGTTATATATGTAGTTACTGTGTGTGGAAATAATTAGTTTAAATGGTAATGTGGACGAGTTCGTTCGGGCAAGTCGTAACATACCTCCAAGGCTCGATGACGGGCTCCCACCCCGACAATGTCCGGTTGTAGTAATCTACACTGAGCACGCCGGCGAGACGGCCACCGCCTGCGCCGGCCTTCCGCGGCGTCACCGTGCTCGGGGGACCCGCCGGCGTCGATACCAGTAAGGGGTCCTCGAAAGCTTCCTCCACTTTACGTAGATCCTGTTCAAAAATATTGTACGTCCTGGGATGTAAGACAGCAGCCGAGAAAAATTCTATTACTTGACTATACTATAGTTTTATCAAGGCGAAGTAAAATAACAGTTTAATCCGCAAAAGGGTTACCCGCTTACGTGCAGCTAGTGATTGCAGTCGATAAACTTTCCATCGACTATCGACAATCATATTGATAAACTGAATGTATTGGTTACGGTTACGTAATGAATGGTGAACTTATATCATTTGAATATAATTAAGATTCATAAAATGTAAAAAACTAAACAGCAAAAACAGATGTCTATCGAATGTTGAAAAAATAAGTTCGTGTCTTTGTGTTTGAAGAATTGATGTGGACCAACTGTCAAAACAGAAGAAAAAAGCCGATTAGAACGTCCGGACAAACATTTAAAACTTACGGTTTTCTCCAAAGATTTATCTCATTTCAATCTATCGATAAACGGTCGACAACAACTACGCGACTATTTAAAATTTTATTAAAAGTGGCAATTCTGCAAACGTCATTTTACTCTGACTTACTAGCAATTTCCCTCATAGTCGTTTATTATATCTTTCATCACACATAACTTCTAGTTTTGCATACTTTTGCATACATGAACGTAGGCATAATACGCTGAGTCAGCGCCATTTCACTGCTGTGACAAAAAATGTTTATTATTCCTGTTGCATTCAATCTATATTTGTGTTATACTAGTGAATGAAGTGTTTATCTATCTACCTTGGAAAAAATGCAGTATGAGTCAGTAAAGTGAACAGCGTTACCTGCTCGAGCAGGAGCTCGCTCAAGGAGACCTCGAGCAGCGGCACGTCGGAGTCGAGGCAGTCGTCGATGACGCAGAGCGTGAGGCACTCGGCGCTGACGTGCAGCGCGCGCAGCGGCCACACGGGCGACGGCGCGGGCGGCGGAGGGGGCGCGGGGGCCCACCGCGGCCGCAGCAGCCGCGCCGCGCCGGCGCCGGCGCCCGCTCTCATGTGCTCGCTGTTCGCCGGCGCGTCCTTCGCGAGCTCTTCTCTCTCGCTCTTTCCTGCAAAGCCCGTCGCTCGGCCTTGTTAAGACACTGGATGCTCAAAATCCATAGGCAGAGACGCCTAAAACGGCAAAGTGCATGTATAACATCCGAAGCGGAGTCCGGAGTCAGTCCGGGCGGGGTAATGGTAGTAGTAAGTAGTAGTAGTCTAGGGCAAGCTACTGGAGATCTTGGTGATTCTGTCGAAAAAATCGCGATGAATAAGGCCCAAATTGAGGACCTCTCACTTCAGGGCACTTCATCAATGGCATCAAATTGACCGAAGGCTACGGTGGGAGCGTGAACTATAAGGCTATGCACAACTTCGTACGAGCTTTATGTCCGGACAGCCAAGCACACGCGTATATCAAGGCCCACGCAGCCGCCCTGGCGAGTTGAGTTGTTAAGGCGATGTTGTGGTTTTCCGAACGATAGGCGGGAAGCTGATTTTCTTACTGCGCCATGCCGTGTAGATAAGAAAAGTGCATTCGGAAGAGAGCCCATAGCAAACCGGGAGAACTCTTCCAAGTTTCGACCCGTACAGCTAAGGTTGATAGCGTTCTGAGAAGGTCAGTGGATCAGATGGAGTTGATCCTTGGTATATCCGCAAAGTGGACAAAATTTAAACATTTTTGTTGATTGAAGCCGAGAAAGGTTAGTGAGAGTTGTGGTTGTCTATGTGTGTGTCCATGGCACCCGCGACACAGGGTTTCCCTAGTGCGGGGCTATGTTAAGTGTGTGCGTTATTATTATTATTATTATTATACCTGATAGCGCGGCTCTCGCTTGAACCGGCAGCGACTGCAGCATTGCAGCGAACATCCTCATGTCGTGGTAAGATAGACGCAGATTCAGTGTACCCATTGACACCTGAAAGAATGCCATTTTCAGAAGCCTACACCAATACGGCAGACCGAGCTCAAAGCGTTATTTTAATGCGAGACTCACGTGCAAAACGTGATCGGCGAGTAGCTTGACGTGCAGCGCGGCCGGCTCAAGGATAGACAGCGCCGTCTCCTCTTCCAGGCCCAACACGCACGAGAACAGCTCCAGCTCGTTGAGTTCGCACGACACCGGCTGCGCCACGACTGCCGGCCGATATGTTATCACCGTCGTGCTCTGCGAATTTAGCAGTGGTGCTGTTACATGTCGGAGATCCTCCAGATGTTTACAACCCGTACAATTTGCGTATGACACGTGGTACCTTGAGTATGACGGCGTTAGTGTCCCACACGGAGGCGTCCTCGACGAACACGAGCTGCGAGTCCGTGATGTTGAGCTTGAGCTCCGTGTGCGCGTCGGCGGCCAGCGCGGGCGCCGCCACGCCCCGCAGCGGCAGCGGGCTGCTCGGCCCCAGCGGTCCCTTCGCTTCCTCGCTGAGATTCCCATAATGACAACAGAAGTGAATCTACGACTCCGTCAATTCTCGAACCTAATCGAAACTATGGAAACTCTGCTAACATGTGTGTCTCATTTCTGACGGTTCACACTAGGTACTTGCTATGACCCAAGATTGCCTGATCATCACCACTTCCTTTCTGTATTATATTATTTGAACCTGTCCGACAGTAAGTGATAATTATACAATTGTGTGATATGTCACTTTAAAAAAATACTGTATATAGTTGCTGATACAGGCTGTAAGTAGATTTAATTGTTTACTAATTATAATAATTGAGAAGAATAAAATAAATTATTTATTGAATTACCCACGAAGTTTCATTTCATTCACCTAATGTTTGTGAGTGGTGGTTCACATCCGAGAATCTAACATTCTAAAGGTGCTTTTCCACCGGCGGCGGCGAGGCGAGACAAGGCGAGGAATGGCAAAATTCAATACTCTAGGGCTATCTTCTAAGGAAATGGTCAGGATTGACGATGGTTGAGGCGAGAATTGAAATATTTCTTGATGTAATATTAAACCATATGCTGCCCACATAGAGTATTATACTTTACCACGGAAACACTCACGCGAGCTCGCGGTGGCTTTTATTATCAATCGCGAGATTGTAGGATAAGTACGATTTGAGATTTAATAAAAAGATGGCTTCGTCTGATTCTTCCTCCATTAACCATATTTCACTTCAGTCGTTGATTACCGCTAGGTGAACTGAACAGCACTGAATCGTCACTACCCACAACTGCAGCACGAGCTCGCTCGAGATCGTGATGGTTCGCGCGAGCTAATTAATGATTTGGTGGAAATAGGCCGACGAGCTTTCAATCTTTCTCGTCTCGCCGGTGGTAAATCACGTTTAGATACTCCTTACCCCTATCCAGTGGTAAGAAAATATTCATGTTACAATAGCCATAGCTAAATAATATTTTATTTTTTATGTAACTCAAATCATGCACCGACTAAACTTGCAAAGCAATTCGCTAGACCATGGCGACCTTACTTTATTACAGGTCGAAATTTGTATTCTGTATTTAAGTAAATTAACAATTATACGTTAAAGAGCAAACCAGGAAGTCATCCGAAAATCAATTTTACGGTTCACAAGTTAAAGATTAGGTTTGTTTAACACTCTTCTACACCTGTATGTGCTCAGAACCAAAAGATCGACAAAATCGATTTGGAGGGTCAGGTATTTTGCGTGCACACAAGTCCCTGTTACGAAGTTACACTTTATATGTATAAAGTCAAGTGGATATTTATCATCAAAGTGGCAAGAAACGGGTAACACACAGAGATGGCTGGTCCGCGTCGGCGAGCGGCGGCGGTGGTTGCATGATGAACTGGTTCGCCGCTTCCCACCAGTCCAGGATTGCCATCAATCTCATGTTGTTTACAAGGATAGTGTACGCTGACGACTCGTGGCGTTTTCTGTACATAAATAAAAAAATTGCAGCGTTGTTTTTTTCGAGTTACGGAATCTGGAAGACCGTTCTTCCGTTATTAGAATGTTGCCAGTAAATACGGACCGTGCGTGCACCTCGGCCTGCACGCTATGGCGGTGGTCGGGCATGGGCTGCACGATGTGGCTGAACACGTTGCCGCGCCGGTTCGCAGGCTCTTGCGCATACCGCGTGTCGCTTACCAGAATTTCCTGCGTACATAGTACTATGTAAATAATGGTGCATTTATATTAGGACAAAGTCACCTTCGTTTGCCCGCAGAACTCAGTGTTAATACTGAATCGTTTGACTACCGTAGTTCACTGCCAAAATCGATCGTTTGACTACCGTAGTTCACTGCCAAAATCGATCGTTTGACTACCGTAGTTCACTGCCAAAATCGACCGAGTGTACTATGTCATCACTGTCGGGCGGTTCGGTCGCCTTCTGCAAACGCCAACCAAACAAATTTCGAGGTGTCGGCGGCCGTGCCCACAGCGCGCACGTGTGCCGGGGGTCGGGGAATACCTACCCACTCGATCAGTTTGTTGAACTTTTCCAACTTGTCTTATATTTATATTGTTGGCCGGCAGACGACACGATGTAAAAAGCAAGTCGACTTCTTCGGCGAAGCGTAGTAATCTGTCGAGAGCCGCAATCAACTCAGTGTAAACATCGTATTAGATTGAGATTTAAACTCAGCAAAATGTTCAAAAGTTAACCAAAAACTATAGGCGACACTGGAGGTCGTCGAAGCGGTCACCTGCGAGACCAGGTCGATGTCCTGACTGAGGTCGGAGTAGGTCTCCACGAGCAGCCGCGACTTGATGAAGTTGATGCACGCGAGGGAGGAGACCCCGTGCTCCGGTTCCAGCTTCACCGTCACGTCGTGCAGGTCCAGCTTCAGCGACGACGTCGTCCAGACCTTCAACGCGCGCGTACAATTGAAAGGCGCATTTAGACAAAGCCGAAGAGCCGGTGCGGACGTCGCCGCGGCCGTGCCGACCTGGTCGCAGTCGCGCGCCGCGGGCCGCTCGGCGGCGGGCGGCGGCAGCAGGTCGTCGACACTCTCGCCCAGGTTGTGCGCCAGCACGCCGCGCACCAGCCGGTACTGCGAGGGGTCCAGCGCGCACTGCAGCGTGGCCAGCGTGCCCTGCAGCGTGAAGTCGGGCACGTTGTGCGAGTCGCTGAGGTTGTGCTCGATCTGCAGCTGCAGGTGCGCGGGCGCGGCCAGCAGCGGCGCGCCCAGGCGGCGCACGCGCAGCCCGCCGCCCGCGCCGCCTCGCGCGCCCCACAGCGCCAGCCCCGCCAGCTCCACGCGGCGCACGTCCAGCGTCTCGCGCGCGCCTGCGCAGCACCCACTTGCCAAGTCATACGCGGACTACGCGCTCGGGCGCACCGCACAGGGAGACGAACAATGGAAGTGTGTTAAGGCTCGATCACTATCGGAACCGCAGTCGCCAAAACTCAGATATGTATAATAATAATACGTAATTTACTTTTTTTTACGTAGTTTACTTTCTCCGCAAACACAACGGTTATAAATGTACAAAATTAGAAGCACATAATAAAATCTATTCCACATTATGTTTGCAAGAGACTGGCTGGAATCTTGGTAATGATTGGTCGCATCGATTGCTATTGTCGTAACAAAGTCTGGATTGTTAATATAATTCAAACTTTACGGATTCGGCAGATCGTTGAAAGTTTATTACAAGTTACGACATTTTCATTTTATATTGCGATTTCAATCAGTATGCTACCATCTAGAGGTCAATAGTCGACGACGAATTCGAGATGTTTACTTAGTTCTCCAAAAAAGAAGTGATCATATTGAAGCGGTATAAGGCTTATTTTTGTTTCTTGTAACAAAAAATGTATGGCTCAAAGTAGCAAAATAAAGCATTGCTCTACGATTTTCGAGGTTTTGCGCAAGATAATTCTGATAAGAATGAGCTCAAGTGTGCGGAACTCCCCGTACTGTTGGCACACGTGGCACGTTCTCTAAGTATGTCTAGTGTACATAATAGGAAATGAAACTATTTTTCCGGATTTAAATCGCGTATATTTGTTTTTTCAAACAAACCGACGTTTCGGGCCCTTTACAGGTCCCTTGGTGACGGTTGACTGAGGTGGTACAGTCTTCAACCAGTTATGTCTAATATTGATGCAAACCACCCTATTTTTGACTATAGTTACAATAGTCGAGATAAGATAAAAATAAGATCGAAAGAGTCCTCAGGCGTGCATCTATCAAGACCTATTTCAAACCGCTGAGGAAGATTTCTCAGTTCCTGAGACCCGTGAAATGTAACATCCCTTTATAGGATGCAGGAGTTTACAAGCTTGACTGTGAGAGCGGTCTCTCTTATATTGGACAAACGAAGCGAAGTATTTGTACCCGCGTCAAAGAACTAGCTGATGTCAAACACCGTTGCGTAAACAAGTCTGCAGTCTGCGATTATGTCATGGATAAACCTACACATTCAATGAAGTTTGACAAACCCCAGGTCCTTGCAAAAGAAGTCCGTTATCTGCCCAAGATGCTGCGAGCGGCCATTGAAATTAAAAAACACCCTAATTTCAACAGGGAAGATGGTTTCTCCGTACCACCAGTTTGGGATCCAGTATTTTCTCTAATGAAAAATCCCAAACAGACATAAGACTGCAGTACTCATTAATATGTTTTAGTTTATTCTAATTTCTATTATTTATTAATAATAAATTGAACTTAATAAAAATTCATTCAATAAAATAATTTGTAAACCTTAATGTAGCGTAAATTGGAATGTTTTCTCTGTAAAATTAAAAATAAGGTATTTAATTAATAACTATTGTAACTGTAGTGAAAAAAATAAGGTGGTTTGCATCAATATTAGACATAACTGGTTGAAGACTGTACCACCTCAACCAAGCGTGACCATGGGACCTGTAAAGGGCCCGAAACGTCGGTTTGTTTGAAAAAACAAGTATACGCGATTTAAATCCGGAAAAACAGTTTCATTTCCTATGTGTAACAATCGCGAAAACCTAAAAACTCGATAGTGTACATATTGTTCTATGGACGGCACTCACCGCTCGCGGGGTCCGTCACGGTGCTGGCGGTGCCCGGCTCGCCGGCCAGCTTGAAACAGTTGTCGATGTGCAGGTGCGCCAGCTCGGCGACCAGCGCGCCGCGGCTGCGCCCCGACACGGGCAGCACGATCACCGGCGTCGCGCAGCGCACCCGCACCACCATTTTGGTGGCCCGCGCTGCGCCCAAGCCGACGCCCACCGACACCTGCCGGCACGTGCCGTCGCGTGATTTTACCGTACTCTCGCCGGACACTCCCCGAAAACGAGTTAACACGCTAACGTTATCAGTTCCCACGGTCACCTTGAGCCGAGCTTGCAGGATGACGCGGCGCAGCAGGCTGAAGTCGCGCGCGAAGGCCTGCAGCTCCTGCACGAAGCGCTTGGTGTGCACGTACGTCACGGGGCCCATCTCGACGCTCATCCGCGTCTCGTGCCCCGCGGCGGCCGCGTCCGCGCCGCTCAATCTGACGCAGACGGTCTTCCTTTAACACTAGGACCATTTTTTGAACAAGAAAGTGGGTCCGTCTCGCAAACCTGTGGTACTCGAAAGTGAGCGCCTGGTCGCCGTGCGTCCTGAAGCGGTCCCTCCACAGCGGCGAGTGGGGGGTGAGGTCCGTGAGAAGCAGCCCGCCAAGCCGGCCCGTGATGGTCCTGGAGTGCAGCGCCTCGTCCGCCTGGCCCACCACCAGCACGCGCGACACGAGCGCGCGGCACGCCTCGCCGCGGGACGTCACCACCACCACCGACAGCGACCGGATCGAGGTCTCCGTCTGCGTTATTCCCTGCTCCGCCGCCGCGCTCTGCGAGTCTGGAACGGCACGCCGAGGGCTACGTGACGGTGGCTCCGTTGGATACCGACTCTGCAGAAAAGTGACCGTCCGCACCGACTCGCTGTGGCCGCGAGGCGGACTCGTCGACGGGAGCGTCGTCACCCGCGAAGCCGAAGAAGTCGAGTACCGCCACCCAGCTGTCGACGTTCACGACCAGGTTCAGGCAGTTGAAATCCACTTTCGTCAGCTTCGACACCTACCAATACAAAACGAAAACTAGTGCACGCTGCAAACAATGCATTAAATATCTAGAAATTCTAATTAACGGTTCCCAAGTTTTCAGAATCACATTGAAGCGCTGACTTTTAGGACTCGAAAATTAATACACATATTTAAATCGCTTCGACATGTTTCCGACCACATAGTGCTTAGGTCAGTTTATTTTGCTTTTTGCGAATCCATTTTGCGGTGCGCAACTCCTCATGGGCGGTGCACCTAAAACTCATATGACTAAACTCGAGCGTACCCAATGGGCTGTTCTCAAAGTTTCTTCTTTTCTACCTTTCTTGTTTCCGACCGATGAGCTCTATAAGTTATTAACACTTCCAACTTCCCTATGATCCTTAAATCTTGGCTACAAGACGAAAAAAGGAACTGTAGGCCCTTACACCCCATTCCACACTAGTTTGTCTCACAGACATTTCTGTTTCCTGGGAAATTACCTTTATAATAAGTTATAAATATATTTTATTTTATTTATATATTTGTTATAATATATTTCCCCCTCCCGAAAAATTCTTGCAAAGGGTCTCCCTATAGTTACAAACACAATCTTATAATCAATCAATCTTATAACAGTGCGGTGCGGTGCACGCTCGGATTCGGACGTGCTCCACTGCACAATAAGAATTATAATAATTCGCGACTCGCGCGGCGATAGCCGCTGCACGTAATTGACAATGGGTTCTCAGCAACTCATAGCCAACGAACTGTTGGCGTTTATACAACACGCCATAGATACCATGGACGAAGTCAGCATCGTGCAGATCTGCAAGTCAAATTTCAAAGAAGAATAGATTTGCAGTGGCAAGGCGCTGCTTTTCCGGACGTTTGGCAAAGCCGAGCAGATGCCGTCTCGTCGGAGAGATGGAGGAGCGAAGAGTCTCCAGGACATCATTACGTTGTTAAAGGAGACCGACCCAGACGACGTGCCTGCATTCGTGGCGAAGGAGCTGCATAAGCTGCCCCCTGTCACGTTCGACCACGTCGACGTCACCAGGCTGCTGAAGGACATCACGTCCCTAAAAGCAAGCCTTGCTGAAGTTCAGTGTAAATTGGAGGCCTCAGACAACACCATCAGTGAGTTGCGTGCCCAAGTTGTTTTACTTAGTAGTGCGGCTTCGGTAAGTAGGTCACCTGAGGCCTGCAACGTGAACACTTGTCGCGGGGCGCAAAATGCTTCTTTCAGGAGTTCTGAGTCGGCTCACATGCATGTGTCACCGACCTCTGGCGCTGTTGCCGCGCGCGTTTCCCCGCACCCCGCCCCGCCGGAGACGACCCCTCCACGTGATTATGCAGCTGTTGCCGCTGCCCGACCTAGTACTCCACAACCACAACCCAGGCAACCAATGAAGGGAAAACTGAAAAACAAACTCGTATATGGAGCTGCGTCGTCAGTACCACCGAGACGAGTTGATCAGTGCGACGAGGACGGCTTTCGGAAGGTGGAAAAGAAAAAGAAGAACACCAGCCGAAACCTTAGTGGCACCGCCCTGATTGGCCCGAATCATTTATTGCGTCCAGCGGTACCGACGACGTTGTTATACTTGTCGCGTCTTCATTACTCCACCAAGTCTACGGATATTGTGGAGTACATGCGAGTGAAGGCCAACGCAAACCTGAGGGTCGAGCGGTTGGAGTCGCGCCACAATGTGAATTTTAATTCATTTGTGGTGCGAGTACCAACTCAACACCTGTCGACCTTCATAAGAGAAGACTTTTGGCCGAAGGGTGTCATGTACCGGCGTTTCCGAGGACGGCTACCGGACACCCACGTTGCGTCACACGTCGAACTACATACGTGTTATTAAATAAATGGTGTTATATGTATATTATCATGTTATATTGTATTTATGATTAGTCCGTAAGATATTTATTTCATATTTCTGTTATTGTTTTATTATATTATTGTTATATTATATGTATGTTAGTCTGTAAAGTATGTATCTATGGGTCCTAGTTGCCTGAAATAAATAAATAAATAAAAATAAAAATAAAATAAATAATTCCACAGGGGAACTTATTACACTCTCTCGTAAACTGCGCGTGTATTGTAGTATATATTATACTTACCACTTACACACTAGTTTACACAATCATTACACTTTCATATCATTATCACACATCACTTACACCTACACCTTACTCATACATCTTACACATTCATCTCCCACTCATATATATAAAATTAATTTAAGAACTTGTAATTTTGAACTTATATATAATTTTTTTTTTATTGAACTAATCACAGCAGAAAAAACAGATTTTCTTGTTCGAGGGGTGAGAGTTTGGCGACTCGTAACACAGTCTTTGCAAACCCATCACGGGCGCCAGTCACTCCTTTAAGTAGTTTGATATCACATAATTGTATTATGTCACATAAATTTAACTAGCTCATAATCTGGTTTTGTGAGTGAAAATAAATAAATATTATTATTAGTGTACGACTGGACGCCGTAATTTCCTTGTCTGAAAGCTTATTTCAGATAAGGAAATCACAGGCGCTAAAGCCACAATAACCCACCCGACGAAATTTTTCTTCGAAGAGCGGATGCGCGGGGTCGCGCATGTGCACGGACACCCATACGAGGTTGTCGTCACCGGACAGCGAGCCGTCGGTCTCGCCAGCCTCGCCCTCCGCCGACCCGCCGAGGCCCGCGGCCGCGGAGGGCGCCACGGGGGAGCACGGCGGTGTGATGCCGCATTTGCTGTCGCGCTTATCGCGTTTCACCTGCTCGATATGACAAACACTGCTCAGTTACAATAAAATACGAAATATATAAAATGGCCAGATAATTAAAAGCGTCCAAACACTTTTGAATGCGAATAGAATGAGAATTTGTGTACATTTTGATTACACACAAGTTGCGGACGGCGGTGAGCGAAACGACAGGGGACGCGCGAGACACGTGCCAAAGCCTGGAACCTGAAAACGCTCGAGAATCGAAAAACCATGTTGAAAAAAGACACAATAACGATCGTTAGAAGCGGACGTGTTACTTTACTTATCTCAGTGTTTATCTTTAAATACGTTATTTTACTAGTATTTTTTCATAAAATTTTTGCCAATTTGAATCATATAGTGTTATAGTCAATATTTTGCTTAAATAAATAGTGAAAGTGCTACTTATCTACGTTTTTTACGGTAATGTCGGAGTGTCTTAACATAACGCGTAAGCGACGTCGATTTCACGGCGCTTATGACCTTTTGGTCGCGACCGCGAACATAACCGATCGCATCGACTGCACTGCTACCTACCATCTTTACTGGACGGCGGACGGCTGTTATTGTTGGGCCGCCGATTCTACCTACTTATTTAGCTGTATAAAAAATTATATTTACTATTTATAATGAGTAAATGCGCTGAGTGTTCGTTGTTGATAAGCGTTACTGAGAAGCTTAATTGCCATGATTGCTCTAAATCTTACCACTGCACTTGTACCGGCATGGAAAAGGATGATTACAAAAAGCTTTCAGCTAGAGCAAAAAAGGCTTGGAAATGCGAGGACTGTGTTTCTACCGTGGAGGGCGTTAAGACTCCTGAGCCCTCAAAAGAGCTTGATAGCGCATTGATTGGACTTTCCAGTACTCAAACAGCAGCTTTAGAAAACAGACTGAGTCGCATGGAATCTTCCATGTTGTCTAAAATCACAGATTTGTTTGAGACTACTGTGCTACGCACCATACGTTCGGATTTGGATAATCTGCGGAAGGACATGGAATCGCTTCTCGAGCTTAAAGCATCCGTGGAACTTATGAGCGAGATTCATGATGACACTATTAAAGAACTTAAAAGCCTACGTAAAGAGGCTCATGATCTACGTACAAATAATATTAAACTCCAAAAGGATTTAAATGACCTACACCATCGAATCGACCAAATGGATCAGCATGCTCGCGCAAACAATTTAGAGATTCAATGTTTGCCCGAATTCTCTAATGAAAATTTAGTGACGTCAGTGAAACAGCTGGCGTCAGTGGTGTGCTGTTCTCTTGACGATAAAGAAATTATGTCCTGTTCTAGAGTCGCCAAAGCTAATCCATCCTCTTCGAGACCACGATCGGTGGTTGTGAAGCTGTGCTCTCCCAGGAAACGCGATGAATTGCTGGCTGCCTGCCTTAAGTATAACAAAGCTAAATCTTTGGAAGATGATAAACTTAACTCCGCTACACTGGGTATCTGCGGTGGCAAACAACGCATCTACGTTGCCGAACACTTGTCACCTAAGAATCGTGAACTTCAGGCTAAGGCTCGCCAATTCAAGAAAGATAAAAATTACAGTTTCCTTTGGGTCCGTAATGGAAGAATTTTGCTTAGAAAAGATGACAAATCACCAGCCGTCTGGGTTAAGAATATGGAAGTCCTAAAGAATTTAGAATAATTGATAGTATATACTATTCGTATTTGATTTTGTTTTTTCCAAGATTCCTATATTTTATTGTATAAAATGCCTAATATAAGCATTTATTATCAAAATACCACGAGCATTAGGGGTAAGCTCTCTAATGTTTTTCTTAACAGTCTAATGATTATGATATTGTAATTATTACTGAGTCCTGGCTGAACGACAGTGTCTTGGATGCTGAAGTTTTAAATAATAACTATA